CAACGGTACTCTACATCGTCTCAGAGTCGGCAAAAATTTTAAAAGGTAAACTTCCAAGTCCTAACTATAGATTCCGCTGCGTTAGGATTTATTTCGATAAAGTTCAAAACTGTGCATGTTGTTTGACGTTCCTAACAGAACCCAACACTTAAAGCAATCCGATTTGTCTGAAATTCCATGCCAACTGACAGGAGAAATGTCCCATACCTTTGAAGCTCTGGAGCAATTTAAGAGAACATGAGTGATTGTTTCTGAGGTTTCACCACAAACCGGGCATATGTGATTAATGTCAATTCTTTTTCTTCTCAGCAAGCTTGCCACATGAAGAGTTCCTGACAAGCATTTCCACAGAAAGTGCTTTAATTTCCAAGCAACTTTCATTTTCCAAAGTCTGAATTGCACTGACTTACTGATTGAAGATCTAGCACTGGATTCTGGGATGTCTAGTTGAGTAATCTTGATTTTTGAGAGATACTTGTAAGTACTTGCTACAGAGAATTGACCTCTCCCATCTAAACCCCAAAAAATTCTGTTTGACCTCTCAGGATGTAGAGATGTTATCTTAAGAATTGCATCACTGTCTGTCTGATCAAAAACCTATTTCACAAGCCAGTCATTCCAAGCATAGCCATTGGGTTGCAGAAGGTCCTTAACCCATATAAGGTGGTCCCTAGCAATAGGGATAAGAGAAGGAGCAGGTTTCTGAAAATTGGGAACCCAATTGAAGTCATCTATCATAGTTGTAGTTCCATATCTGATTTCAATTTTCAACCATTTGGAGAAGAAAGGGATCATCTCCATCCAACAATTCCACATCCATGACCCATTAGAGGTTTTAGAAGCATGAATGATTGTTGTGTGAGGGAAATACCTGTCTTTCAAAACTCTGTTGACCAAGAGATCAGGCTGAGATGCCACTCTACATAATTGCTTGCAAATCAGAGCTATGTTGAACACTTGCAAGTCTAAGAAACCCAAACCTCCTTCATTCTTGGGTAAAGCAAGCAGGCTCCACTTCTTCCAATGTATTCCTTTGGATTGTTGGTCTCTATTTTGCCACCAGAAATTGGCACAGAGCTGAGAAATTTCAGAACAGATAGTAATAAGAAGCTTAAAGCAAGGCATAGTAAGGATTGGTAAAGCTTGAATGATTGCTTTTAGCAGAACTTCCTTCCCAGCTGTACTCAAGAGTTTGGATTTCCAATTCTGCAATTTATTCCTAACTGAACTCAACAAGTACCCAAACACTTCCTTTTTAGATTTCCCAATGCCAAGTGGTAAGCCAAGGTACCTTGTTGATCTATGAGAAATTATACCAATTGAGAGCTGAGCAAATTGTAGCTTGAAGAGGTTGTGGAGTGTTTCTACTGAAGAAAATGGCTGATTTGTTCAAGTTGACAGCTTGTCCTGTGAATAATCTGTATTTCTCTAAGACTGTCATCAGTACAGCTGCTTGGCGAGCACTTGCTTTGCAGAAGAAGATTGAGTCATCTGCAAACAGCATATGAGTAAGTAGTGGACCATTCCTGGAAAGTTTGAGACCTTTGCATTGTCCTGTGTCCACTGCTTGCAGAATCAGTGCTGTGAGAGCTTCAGCCACTACTAAGAACAGATAAGGGGACAGAGGGTCCCCTTGCCTAATACCTCTTCCAGGCTTAACATAACCACTTACACTGCCATTGATTTTGAAAGAAAAAGAAGCAGTGGAGATGCATATTAAGATCATCTTTACAAAATCTCTGTGAAATCCCATTTGAAGCATAATTTTCTGCACACTAAGCCACTCAACTCTATCAAATGCTTTGATAAGATCAAGCTTGAGAGCTATGAATGAGTTTGGACCTGAAGAGTGCCTATTCAAGAAATGAAATGCTTCATGTGCTATTATAACATTGTCCATAAGTTGTCTTCCCTCAATAAAAGCAGATTGATGGCTACTAATGCAATGAGGTAAACAAACTTTCAGTCTCTGAGCCAACATCTTTGAGATAACTTTATAAATCACTGTGTAGAGACTTATTGGTCTGAATTGACTAACACTCTATGGATTTGGACACTTAGGAATCAGGGAAAGAATGGTATGATTCCAGTAATTAAGGATCATACCTATTTGAAAGAAGCTCAGGATGGCTGCCAGAAAATCATGTTTGATCAGCTCCCAGAAATGCTTATAGAACAGTGAGCTCATCCCTTCCTCTCCTGGAGCCTTATCAGAAGGCATTTGGAATAAAGCTGACTTGACTTCATCATCTGTGACTGGTTTCAGGAGGGCTTCATTCATTTCTGAGGTAATGGATTGAGGAATTAATTGGAGAACAGAGTCACCTTCCAAGCTGCCCTCAGAAGAGAACAAACTGGAATAAAAGTCAGCTATATAGGTCTCTATTTCTTTTTGAGTACCCAGGATCCTCCCATTTGAAGAAATCAGTCTGGTGATAGCATTTTGTTTTCTTCTTTGAAGAGTGAAAGCATGAAAAAATCTTGTATTGGCATCCCCTTCTTTAAGCCATCTTTGTCTGGATTTCTGTTGCCAATACAACTCTTCCTGAAGATGTGCTTTATTCAGTGAATTTTTTGTGTTCATCCGGCTGCTCCAGTTTCTTCCAGATTTTTCTTCATTCAGAGTTTCCATTTGAAGTGTAAGTTCCGCTATAAGGGCCTGATTTTCAGATTGGAATGAGGAACTCCATTTTAGAAGGGCAATTCTAGTAAGTTTGATTTTCTCTTTGAGCCTATAGAAAGGAGTTCCTGTGACCGGAGTATTCAATGCTAGCTGGACAGTCTCTTCAAATCCATCCTTACCAATCCATCTTTTATCAAAATTGAATCTGGCTTGTTTCTTTTCTGAGGGCAAGCCCAAGTTCAGGACAATTGCAGAGTGATCTGAGGAACTTCTCATCACATTAATCACTGAAGCATTAGGATAAGTTTGGTGCCAATCTAGAGTTCCAAATGCTCTATCCAACTGTTCTTCTATCATTTCATCAGAGGCTCTCTGATTACACCATGTAAATGGATAACCACTCAGCCTAATTTCCTCCATATCCATGCTGTCAATAAAGGAGTTAAAAGGCTGAAGACTGGCAGGACTTCTTGGATTTCCACCTTGCTTTTCTGAAGTCTTGCAGATATCATTCTAGTCCCCCATTGCAAACCAACAATCTCCCCAAGCTTGTCTTTCAAGAATTAATTCATCCCACTGAGTTTCTCTGGTAGCCCTACAAGGACTTAGGTATACAAAAACACCCCACTGAGGGCTACAAGAAGGTAAAGAAAAAGGACAGCAATAAAGAAATCTTTACATATGATTTGCTGAATGGATACATCAGAATCCCAAAATAAAGATAAACCACCCCTTAAACCAGTGGTGTTCACAATACAAATTCTATCTGCAGAACCTAACTTAGTACAAATAGATTTAACAAAAGCTTTTGGCTTTTTTGTTTCTGAGAGAAAGAGAAAATGTGGGTGGTGAGTTTTTTTTAACTCTCGCAATTGGGAAATTGTAGAGGGCCCACCCAGCCCTCTACAATTCCACACCACAGCTAACATTTATCTTGTGGGTGTCATTCAAGGCTGACAGCCCCCACCTTTTCTTTTTGCTCCTGTTGTTCCTGCTTCTTGGTGCTGTTTGACTTAGAATGATCTGCTGATGAGAGCTTGATTGCTCTTCTTCTGAAGTCCTAAGTCTTTTCTTCAATGGATCTTGTTCAGTAACAATGGAAATAGGTGACTCTCTCAAAAGTCTGCCTGCTTTGCACCTGTCCCTTCTTCAAGTCTTCAGTGGATGAGAAGAGTTGGTAATCACTGTGTCACTAATTGTGAGAACTGCTTCTGGAGTACAGGGAAGTGGGTCTAACTCCATTATTTTGCTTGATTGCACCATTTGCAGATTGGATTCAACTGATATGCCTTTGGATTCAGGAGTATGAGAAGCTGAGGCTACTGAATCCTGTTCTTTCTCTATGTTTCTAGATGGTGTAGTTTCTGGAATAGGGATTATCTGGTGACTGGTTTCAGCTTGCTGAGATGATGTGTTTGGAGGAGATCTGTTCTCATTCCTTGTGGGGGATTCAGTGTATGGAGAACCTCTGGAACCTGAATTTGCATTATTAAACCAGTTCTGGCTCTCTGCTGCTTTCAGAAAATCTCCATATTGGCCTTCTTTGAGGGAATTGTTATTGATGTCTGAAATCCGTTTTGAACAACTTCTATCCAAGTGCCCAATCATACCACAATAGTGACACAGATTTTGAAGCTTTTCATATTTGAATCCTACCTGAGCTGTTTGGTCTCCTAGTCTGATGTTAGCAACTCTAGGCAAAGGCTCATCCAGGTTAATTATGACCAAAAGTCTAAGATATTGCCACCGTAATTCCCAGCATTAGCTAGAACAACGTTCTTAACATTCTTGAAAACTTTTTCTATTTTTAGCCCCACTTCAGTGCTCAACCAATTAATGGGAGTGTTTCTAACTTGGACCCAAATATTGAGATCTTTGAAACAGGAATGCTTACTTGATATACCGTGTTGCCATTCCTTAAGAATGAGATACTGGTTTTCGAAGCTCCAGTTGATACCATTGGCTACCTTCTGTTTATCTTCCCTACTTTGGAATATGAACTGGAAATAGTTCGGACTCAATTCCTTGATTTCCATTGCTTGATTGAGTCACCAAATGGTAGTCATAGTGCGTTTTACTCTAATCCAGCTCGCAACTCTATCGCCAATAATTTTCGCGAAGAGGATTCTACTGCATTCTTCTGCGCTCAATTTGATATCTGTTTGAGCAATATCAATAAAGGTTGCTTCCTTGTCAGATAGGGAAAAATCCCTCAATTGATCAGAAAGATCCTCTTCATGGGTGTCTGACATAACTACGAAACCCTAGCTGCTCGAATCTCAGGCAAGAAATAGATGGAAAAAGAAATTGAAAGGAGAGGGAATGACTGAGAAGAAGACGATCGATGATCAACAGAAAAAAGGAAACAGATCGAAGAATCCCTAAGCTCCTACCTGAGAGAATCCCTAAGCTCCCACCTAAGAGAATCGGTTGGGTATCAACTCTATTACTCCTTGTTTAGGAGTGGGGTCTCACTGGGTCACAATATTTTACATTTTTAGTGTAGGGGAGTGTGAAAAGATATTGTAATTATCTTGAAAATATAGTGAAATTGTTCGGAGGTTGTCTCGTGATTTTTTCCTCTACATTGGAGGTTTTTCCAAGTTAAATCTTGGTGTCTTCTTTCCTGCATATTTTTATTTATTTAGGATATTCTTAGTATGCCATGTGGTCGTAGTTTAATCTGATCGTCCACATCAGAAAAGAATTATTCTTGTTTTATTGCAAGAGATTTTTTTTTCACTCTTGAGTTGTTGGGATTGGGATTATTGTTCACCATTTTACCTCGTTGTTTTAATTTACACCTCCGCATTTGCGCATCTGAGCCTGACAAGTGGTATGAAAGCTGAAGTTTGGGCTCTGTATCGATCAGTGTAAATTAAATGGAGGAGGACGTTGGTACCATGGTGAAGCTAACAACGACAATTTACTCCATTTGGAAGCCAAAAATTGAGGACATACATTTCTACAAGGATCTGTATGATCCTGTAGAAAAGGGAGACAACAAGCCAGAGGATGACGATTGGAAAAAATTACATAGAAAGACTGTCAGTTTAATCAGAAAGTGGGTGGATAACATCATATTCCACCATGTTGCACAGAGTCGAAAGCCCATACTCCGTGGAACAAAATTGAACAAATGTACCAGAGGAAGACTGTACAGAATAAAGCTTTCGTCATTAGAAAGTTTGTAAATTTAAAATATCGGGATGGAAGATCAGTTGCAGAACACTTGAATGAGTTTCAAGACATCGTAAACCAACTTGTTACCATGGAAATGAAACTTGATGAAGAGCTGCAGGCGCTATTACTTTTGAGTTCTTTACCGAATAGCTGGGAGACTCTGGGGGTCTCGTTGAGCAACTCTGCTCCTGAGGGAAAACTGACTTTGACCCAAGTCAAAGACAATATGTTTAATGAAGAAACAAGAAGAAAGGACTCTGGGGCAAGCAACTCCCAAGCCCTGGTCACAGAAACTAGGGGGAGAAGCAAAAGCAGAGGCCAGAATAATAAATCCAGAGATAAATCACAATCTCAACCCAAAAGAAAATTCAAGTGTAAGAAGGGTGTTAGTTATGTTAAATGTTTTCTTGTACAATAAGATAGGTTTAGGCCCACTTAGGCGGCTAAGGCCCTTCTATGTATTTATATATATGTATATATGTCCTTGTGAATAATACATCAGATATTTTTCTCACATTCCTTATATGGTATCAGACTAGGTTTAGGATCAATTATAGATTTTTCTTTTGTCGCACGTCTCTGGCCAGTACCGGTTCTCACCTCCTGCGCCATCATCTCCGCCGTGTCCCGGTGAGTCATCGCCTGAAAGCCGGTCCCCGTCGCCGGCGCGTGCGCTTCTCACGCGCCTAGTCTTCGTTGCGACGCTGAGCCCTTTGGCCGGCGCGTGTGGTCCACCCCGATCTCCGATTGTCGCCGTTTTATCGGCCGTCGACTCCTCTTGTCGTCGGCTACGTCTTTGTGTGCTCGGTTTTTGTTTTCGTGCCGTTTATAATTTCGGCCTATATTTATAATTTGACGGTTTCGTGATCTGGTTCTGTAATATCCCGTCAGTTTATCAGTAGAAATTATGTTTTTAGTTCCGATATTAATTTTCGGAATTAATTATTTTCAGTCAGTTCAGTCGAAATTACCGGAAATTTTTTTCGACGTACCGTTTATGTTCGGAATAATTTTGGTAATTAAGCATTATGTTTAATTGAATAATTAAACATAATTTAGTGGTTAATTATCAATTAATCACAAGATTATATATAAATGAACCGTACGGAAATTCCATTTTTTTCCAATAGGCCGTACGTTAAGTGGGAATTGTTAGTGGGATTGTGTCCAATTTTCCTTCATTTCTAAGACCTTAAACGTGGCATTATGAGGATTACTATGGTGCTTAGTCACCTAAATGTAGCTTAGTGTTGCTACAAGTGTCTTAAGGAGGATTAACCTCCAAACACTCACCTTCGGCCATCTTAGTATAAAAGGGGGAGTTTGATGGAAAATTTCCCATTTCATTCTCCATATACGTGTTCATCATAGTTCAGCATATGTATTAAAGTTAGATTGGAAAGTTGTGTTTATAAGCTTAGTACCAAGCAACCGCACGCCGAGCTATAGCGAGTAGCACCCCATACCGCACCGAGAGCATCACGCCGCACGCAAGAGCCGAGTACACACGCACACGCGAGCACCAAACGAGCAAAAAGGTAGTCAACCTTCATGTTATTATGATTAATATCATTAGGTATAGTTGTAATCGTAACTTGAGTTCATGTTCATTTTCCAACCATGTTTGGTGTTGCCGTACGTGAAGCTCGAGTAGACCATGTTATGTTTAAGTTCATAATCTCGCGAGCAACTTCGTGTGGTATATCAATTTATGTTAAATCATGTTCAGTTAGTTCGAGTTGTTCGAAGAAAAGTCAAGATTAGTCATCGTATCGGCCGAAGGGCATGGCCGTGCACGTAGCACGTGCCACGGTCCGTTCATGAGTATCATGTTGTTAAGTGAATATTCTTTCGAACAACCATATTTATTTATTTAGTAAATCATGTTTTACGATCAGTCATGTATAATTTGCCGAGAAGAATTGAAGTTCGGTCGTGAAAGCGGCTTAACGCCGCCGGCGGCACACGGTGCGTCCGCCGCGGCCAAGTTTCGTTTAATTGGGCAAAGTTCATGTTTTCAGTTTAAATATGTTCATGTGTTCATGTTATGTCATTTGAGGTCAGTATGTTCAGGAGTTGTTGCCGGACGGCCGGCAAGGGCCGGCCGTGGCCGCGCTGTCCGCACACA